GAGGTTTAAGAATGAAGAAGGAACACTAGCTCTAGTGGAGGAAGGAGAAGTAGAAAATTTCTGAGAAAGAAATGAATTTAAGTGAACTCAATGAGATCTGCGGTACAATTGTGCGCCTCCAAGAGATTCTTGTTATATGCAAATCTCTACTTTTCTTATATATTCTTTTCTGTGGGGTGTTTAATTTACTGTTTGGTTGATGCAGATTAAAGAGAGTTTAAGAGACGATTTCAGATATAAATCTATGAAACACGAGGATAGGGAATTTTTGTTCAATGAGTATATGTCCGAGTTGAAAGCTGCTGAACACGCAGCAGAAAGAGAGACCAGAGCTAAAAGGGACGAGCAGGTACTAGGTGGTTAATACATAATATGTAATGAATGCCTTTGAAATCATTAGAAGGTTGGTAAAATTGTGAAGAAAGAATAACTGTCGGTCCCCTTTCTTATAATTGATGCCTTGACATGATGCTCCAGTTAGTTCGTAGTGTGTAAATACTGTTTTTTATTTTATTTTATTTTATTTTTTAATAAACGCGGGTAAATACTGTTAAACTACTTCAAATCTAGGATTTTTGCTATATTGAAGCTTAGTTTGTTAGAGTGACTTCTATGACAGGCTCTATTGATGCCTTTTTCTGTTTTATGTTGGATTGAGTTGTTTAAGTCGGTTTATACTTGTATACAAATGTTCTTCTAGCAGCTCATTCTTAGTAACTTATTATAACATTGATTTTGACCAAATTAAAACTCAACTGATTTGCAGGAGAAGTTGCGGGAAAGGGAGCGGGAGTTGCGTAAAAGGAAGGAAAGAGAAGAACATGAAATGGAAAAAGTACGAATAAAGATTAGAAGGAAGGAGGCAGTTACTTCTTTTCAAGCTTTACTCGTGGAGAGAATCAAAGACCCGATGGTATAAAAAGCTTTTATTCTTCTTGCTACTGTTGTTATTTTGAAGATTAGTTTCCTTTTCAAAATCTGAAAGGATTAGAATATCTTTTAGGTGCTAGAGTTTTAAACAAGTCATTTTGGTTTCTTAATTATTGATATTTTCCCAGATTTATACGCATGATACGCATGATTCCATTTTAATGTTTCCTCCCATTTTGAATTGGACTAAACTGCATTCAGTTAATTATTAGGAGGGTTTGGTTCAACATAAAGAAAAATAGATGAATGCAAATGAGTTCCTCAGACTTTTGAAGGCTAAATTATGCTAGGAAATTTGCTGTTTATAATAAATTTCATATATTTTTTGTGTATGTTCTTAGGCATCATAGACAGAATCAAAGCCGAAGTTAGAAAAAGATCCGCAGGGACGGGCAACCAATTCTGTTCTTGATTCAACTGACATGGAAAAACTCTTCTGGGATCATATAAAGATGCTTCAGGAAGTAAGTGATAATATCTGATGTAATTGATATTTGTGACGTTCTCTCTATTGTTGCATGTTCTTAACTATATATGCGATAGACTGCCCCACTTGAATGGGAGTGAGGATCTGTTTAAGTGTCACATAATTCTAGATGTGATTGAGAGTAAATTTGACTGTAATTCTTTCCATATACCAAGAATCATGATTTTAAATCTTATATAATTTTTTTGGTTTGCTATGTTTAGGGGTGCAGAGATGTGGAAATACTTGCAGAATAACTCAATGAGATTTGCGGTACAATTGTGCGCCTCCAATGAGATTTGCGGTACAATTGTGCGCCTCCAAGAGATTGAAAAGTAAGGGTTTTAAGTTGATTTGTTGGTAAATAATGCAATTTCCAGCTATTTGTACCTGTAGCATCAAATTAGTAGGTAAATAATGAAGTGATTTGATTGTGTTGAGTTTTAGTGAATTGTGTTGAGTTTTAGTGAATTGATTTTTGGTCAAATTTTGACATTCGTGATCACCATTGTGCTAAGTGTCAATAGGAAATGTATCATAAGCTTTCAGATTGGATGATTTATACTAAGTGTCATAAGAAAATGTATTACAGGCTTTCAAAGTTCATTTTATATATTTCTTCAATCTTAACAAGGTTGCAAGAGTTCATGCAATGTTATTAGACTATATTCATTTTTATAAGATTTGATGCATAGCTAAGTGTCATACTGATTGCATGATAAACTGGACGAAGGATAGTTGAACAATGCATCTTATTTTAGTCAGAAAAATAGATAGCCTTTTGAAAAATTTGAATTGCCTTAAAATATGGAATAAGAGATTTTTGTAGGATTTAGTTAGGGGAGGCTCACACTGCTCTTTAAAGACTTAGCACATAGGATACACTGCATATGCTAATAAACACACTAAAGTGTGTAAATAAGTTCCTGTGCCCGAAACTGGAGGAACAAGTTCCTGTGCCCGAAACTGGAGGAACAGTAGATGTCTTCATCATTAGTACCAGGTTGGACTCATTACAAGTGAGATCCCGTCAGGGGAAAAGGTGGAACATCTAGCAAAATTGTGTATAATAAAAAGTTCCTGTGCCCGAAACTGGAGGAACAAGTTCCTGTGCCCGAAACTGGAGGAACAAGTTCCTGTGCCCGAAACTGGAGGAACAAGTTCCTGTGCCCGAAACTGGAGGAACAAGTTCCTGTGCCCGAAACTGGAGGAACAGTAGATGTCTTCACCATTAGTACCAGGTTGGACTCATTACAAGTGAGATCCCGTCAGGGGAAAAGGTGGAACATCTAGCAAAATTGTGTATAATAAAAAGTTCCTGTGCCCGAAACTGGAGGAACAAGTTCCTGTGCCCGAAACTGGAGGAACAGTAGATGTCTTCACCATTAGTACCAGGTTGGACTCATTACAAGTGAGATCCCGTCAGGGGAAAAGGTGGAACATCTAGCAAAATTGTGTATAATAAAAAGTTCCTGTGCCCGAAACTGGAGGAACAAGTTCCTGTGCCCGAAACTGGAGGAACAGTAGATGTCTTCACCATTAGTACCAGGTTGGACTCATTACAAGTGAGATCCCGTCAGGGGAAAAGGTGGAACATCTAGCAAAATTGTGAATAATAATAAAGTTCCTGTGCCCGAAACTGGAGGAACAAGTTCCTGTGCCTGAAACTGGAGGAACAATAATAATAAATGCATGTGTAATCCTAAATATTTAGTGAACAAAAAGTCTATAATAGAGCAGTTAATCCCCCCTTCTAAAACTGAAAGATAAACTCTTGGACCATAGGATGAGGCAACGAAAGTTGAATTTAGGCTAACTATCTTAACTGAAGAGTATTGGTGTGACTGATAACATCAGTGCAACACAACACACACACACACTTTAGAGTTGTGCCAATTTTTGGAAAGATTTATCATTATATTTGTGTTTTAATGCATTGTAGATGTTTTTGTAGTATTCAGTTTAGAGCACAATCGGTGCTCTCTCTTGTAGTTTTGATGTGTTTGTTACTTGGTTTTAAGTAGCCTTCTGATAAGGTCAGATTTGTAGAGTTGCCTAACTTTGATGCATTTTATACATTTAAGGTCAGATTTGAATTCTTTCTCACCTCTCTAAGTCTAATAATGACTTACCTTGCTGCCTTCCTATAGCCATTTCATACATACTTTTGAATTTGCTTGCTTTGCAGGACCTTCTCAGTAAACATGGAAATGTGGTCGCCAAATTTTTGACGGCTCAATATGATGAGGTTCGCGTCTTCCTTGGCATACTTATCTTATTTGAACATAATCATGCTATAAATGTAGAAGTTGGTCCAGGTAAGAGGAAACATATTAATAAATTAAAGACTGTTATATTGTGTTGAAATTAGCTTTGAAATTTAATTTGGTTAACTTTGATGTGTGTTTGCATAGCTCCTAAGTTATTTTTCACTTTAGTTTGTCATATTTTACTTGCAAATTTTTTATGCTAAACAAGCCAATCTTGTACTTACTCTGACATTCTAAAGGTTTATATATGAAAACAATTGAAAAGCTTCTTATGTATAGTTTTCATCCTAAGCATAGTGAAACTCAATTACGAAGTTTGTTATTGCTAAAGAAAACAACCCTCATATTGGAAGAAGGCTTGTTTATTTAATTTTAAACTGTGTTTCAATCCATTGCTGATCAAAATCATTGGAGTGATGTCTTGTAGTTGTCATTATCATTATCATAAGGATAAAGTTAATAGTTTATTTCAGTTTCTTCTGTAGAAAAATAACTAATAAGAATAAGGTTTCTAAAGTATTGTTCATGTGTTTCAGGATTTTTGCTACTATGCGAATACAATTTTCTTGATTTACCTTCTGTTTTATCAAAAGAATGAAAAGCATTTTCTGGTTTGCCTGAGGTGAGTGTTTTACGGTAATTTGACATCTTAGAAGACGAGCGGTTCATCGGTCGGTTTTGCGTCTTATTTAAGTGCTTCTGTTGCAGGGGCCTTTAGCATGGGCTTTGATTTTTTGGCATTGCAGTTTGGTGTTCAGTTCTGTTGACAAAATCGTCAGTGTTCTTATCCATCTCTTACCTGGTATGTTATACCTACCATTTTTATTATTTTTCTTTTTTAACAAGATAATAAGCTTTTGGAAAACCATTGGCTTCTATTATGACTTTATAGAGTTATATGCATTGAATGATCAAATATTGGACATATCTTCTAAACAATTGCAAAAATAAAAAGTATTTTACTTAATGTGTTCAAGTTCTACCATCTTCATGATTTTTATTTTGAAATTTCATAGGATTCTAGTGTGGTATCTAGAATTAGCTTTTAGCTTAGCGCCATAATCCATTAGTTCATGTTCTTAGTTCACATATATCTTTGCTATAGGAAGGAAGATTTAGTAACATTACTATTCAAAAGACTCATGCTAGACAAAGAGATCTAAAGTTTAGTAGTCAAGTTCATATACTGGATCAACAATTAAATTTATCTTTGATTTTAGCTTCTCTCGGATCATATCTTTGCTTTCTGATCATATCTTTGATTTTAACAATTAAATTTACTTGGATTTTAGCTTCTCTCGGATTTTCTTTTGGAATCGCCCAATGCTCAGATAATGAAGCGTTACATCTTAGAAGTTTGCTATTTGAAAGTCATGATGACATTGTTGACGGTATAACTCCTCTTAATCCTGTGTCATTGTGCGATATTCTTGTTTTTCCATGCGATTAATGAATATACTTACATGGTTGAGCAGAATTCAAGTAAAAACTTTCAGTTATCGGCTTTTCACATTTTCAAGGTGATTTTCCCGCTTCATGCTTTCAAGTTAATCAATTAACACGTACATTTGGATCTTTGTTTTAATTATTTTTATTACATGTTTATCCAGATTTTGGTTGCTAATCCTAATAAGCCCCGAGACGTGAGAAATATTCTCGGGAAGAACCAGGAAAAGCTGCTAAGCTTGCTTCATAACCTATCGCCGGGAAAAGGTTATTCTGTTTTTAGTTGATTCAAAACATGTAGTTATGTAACCTATTTTTCTCGAGTTACTAATCTTGACTCTTTTTTTGGTTTTATAAGTGCTTCTATTGCTAGATAAGCTCAAATAAGTTAATTCATATAGGACATTATTGTGCTATGTAGCAAGAAAAAAAGTTGAAAGGATAAAACTGGATGATTGATTGTCTTGTTAGGTAATTGAAAGGTTATTAACTTGCTGTTGACAGTGATGGTTTTTTATATGCTTGGTAGTTGGAGATTCCAGTGAGTATCAAAACACCATCTCCGAGCTTGTTAATTTCCTTGATTCTTTATTGGATGCTGCTCTGTCTGATCCAGATAATGAGCATAAAGAGAACAGTGCATTTGAAGCTCTGCCCGAGATCTATCAATACATCTATTCTCCGTCTCTTGACCAGGTGAGTTAACTCTTAGTCATGTTTCATAATCATTTGACTGTCTCATAATATTAGAGGTGTTTGGACACTTGTTCAAATTCAATAAGTACCATTTTTGTTTTCAGTTTGTCGTGTTTTCGTTTTCAGTTTGAATTTTTTGTTACGAATCAAGCTTTTATTATTCTAATTCTTTTTTCTTTTATTTTGATCTAGGTATAATGTTTAAATTGCAGATGGTGGGTGAAAAGAAACTGTATAGTAGAGAAACAAAGTAGATTTCTCACATAGTGAGTGTTTCAAAATTGTGAATGTGAATGGGTATACTGTTTAAATTACAGATTTCCATTGTTCTTCACTTATATTTAGAGCTGATGCTCATGGGTATAATATCCAGTTATGGGGGTTAGATTTCTGACACAGTGAGTGTTCCAAAAGTGTGAGTGGGTCTGTTTCTTGTTCTATTTTTTGAAACTTTTCTAATGTTCAACCATGATTTTTTTTCTTGTTCTAGTTCTCTTTTTTATTTTTTAGTTTGGTGAATATGATTGAATTGCAGTTCTCACTCTCTCTATAATGAAGAATTTATGCATGTTAGTTGACTTATTTCTGCCAATTGTTTACAAATGATTAAAGACTTTGAACATAAGATCAACATATCATGAAAGAAGTCTTAGAGCAAGGGCAATGTAAATAAATGTAAGTGTATTAAAGTTTGTCTTAGGCTCTGATTTCAAATTGAATTTCAAAGTGTCTTATGTCTTAGGATGTATTGATAATTATTACCCTACTTGACAAGGTATATAGTGTCAATTATTTGGCTGAACTTTTTGTTTTATTAAGTTTGGCCAAAAGCCTAATAATAAGTTATTCCACCATTTGAGTTCTTCAATGGAACCACTGTTTTGCAGTAAAGGCGGCGACGTAGAGTTGTGGTCGGAGATTATAATGGGTTCTTCTAATGATAGGATTTTCAAGAAGAATTTGATGGGGAGAGGACAAGATATTGGAGGTGCTAAGATTACCAATTTGGCATTCGGGGGAAGTAGAATGTTCTTGACAAGAAAAGATTTGCAATGTGTTGAGGTTTGTTACCAACATTCATTTTTTGAGTTGAAAATTGAGGTTTGTACCATAGTTGTGTATTGTTTGCTTATAGGGTATTAGTTGGAAAGGGGAGGTTAAGGTTGTCTGCCACCAAATCTGTTTAACAGCTTCTAATAAAGATTCAAATTAGTTAAAAGAAAAATATGTATCTGCAAGAAGTACATAACTTCAACATCTTAAGTGTCGTTTCTCTTTTCTCTGGTAATATGCATTAATACGCTATCGTATGACTTTACTCACATATTTTCTGCGTCGTTACTCTATTTGTAGGTAGAAACAATTCTCCAACTTGTAGGATTTGCTGCAATTATTCAATTTAAAACAAGGAAACAAGACTGAACTAATGAGTCACCTGAAGGTATGATTTTTCTGTGTTTCCCGTATGCCTTGCATGTTTGTGTGTTGTTGTGATACTGTTATACTCCTGAGTTTACGTCTCGTCCTCTTGCTGCGGTGCTAATGGTGTTGTATATTTTGTGCGTATGTATTGCAGGATGCCACTGTGAGTGGTTTACGACGGAACAAGCTTTGCAACAAACAGAATATCAACTGGTATGACCTTCGTAATCTCTTTCTTTCTTTTGGTCTCTGCGTCGCGTGTTCACCCTTTTTACGTCAATATGTGCGTGTTTCTCTGCCTCTTCTCAACCGTGTGTGATGTTGTGATTTCTGATGATTGTCTTTGCACTGCTATGCTGTGGTGTGTATGGTTTAGGGTATGAGTCTTGCTTACTGATTTTTTGTGAATGTATCTGATCTCTTACTAATATGATGCTCTCAGTTTTTACTAATATTATGCTAGTAATTTAAATGGTTTACAAACCATGTTGAGTTTTCTGCTATGTTTGAAACAAAACATGTTCCTATTATTACTTTCTGTTTCTACTATACACATATGATTAATTCTAAAATTATAAGACTCAACTCTTATGTTTAGCATAAAATTGACACTGTTAAATTTGAATCGAAAGTTCAACATATGAGGCGCGTCAAAGAGAGTATGCTTTATGCTTCAAACAGGTCCTTGACATGCATGCATATGAGGCGCGTCAAAGAGAGTATGCTTTGAAGGGGCATAGACATTTCTATTTAATGAACTTAAACAGTAGTGAGGTACTTTATCCTACATCTGCATTCTTAGCTTGAATCAACTTCATTTGTTACTTTTAGTATTTCTGAGTTCTTTGTTGCCTAGTGGAAACATACACAAATTTGTTTGTCTTTGATTCTCTGTTGCATGATGCAAATATTTATAACAATAGGTAGTATTTGTAGATTAGCCTCTCTTTAATTCATCCCATATGCATATGCAATAAAAATTGTCCCCTCTTCCCTTAAAAATACAGTATAGTGATTTCACTTTTGCATTATATCTCTGCACCTTTCATGTGCTACGAGAATTTAGAAGAACCTAACATGTATCTTATATCACCCCAAACATGAGAGTATGCTTTATGCTTTAGCATAAAACTGACACTCTTATGTTTAGCATAAATTAATGTTTAAGTGATTTGTTGTATTCATAAAGCAGTTTGCTCATAAAGCAGTTAGCACAAATAATATATACACTTACTCATAAAGCAGTTTGCTCATATAAACTTGATCAAGTCCAGAGTTTGCTAATAAAGCAGTTTTAAAATTTAAAAACTGATGAGATCAACTTAATATAATATGTATTCATATATTTTAGTAACTAATTAATTAAACTTTCACCTGTAATTGTAGTATTGTCAAGTAACTAGATTGTAACCACATTTTTCCAGAACTTTTGATATGATGCTATTTACTTCTTGTAGTTATTTTCATTTTAACAATAGTTTATATTGATATGCAGGTATTTCACTTTGAATTTTGTGAATAATATTATCTGTCTTATGAATCTTCTGTTTTCAATTGGTTATTCAAATCTATTAGACTGGTTTTGAAATCTGATCATGTTGGATTGACATTACTGATCATAACTTCATAATTTTACCGCCATTATGATGTTGTTTGATTTAATTTTTCAATGTCTTAAGTGTAGACAACTTTTTTTTTCTCTGTTCTTTAATTTGGTCCGAAGTTGACCCTTCCATTTTCCGGTGTTTTAATGAGCTTCCCCCAAGTTGCTTGATTGTGCATAAATTTCAGATTGTAGGCTGCTGCTTCTGCCAATCTTATAGTTGGGGCCCATGTTTGGTTGGAGGATTCTGATGTAGCTTGGATAGATGGTGAAGTCTTGGAGATTAATGGAGAACAAATCAAAGTCCTTTGCACTTCTGGGAAGACGGTGAGTGCATTTTTGTAATATTTGCTAAAAGTTAATCTTGGCCTTCACAGATGCATTTTTTGTTTTGTTTTTTGAATTACTGGTTTTACACAAATGCTTTGATTTCTTTTAATCTTTGCAGGATAGCATAATGTAGATATGCACTTTCTTTTAACTCATAATTTTGAACTTTCTGTTGCTTTAGAATTTGTTTATTTTGTCCCCATCATATGTCTGATTTGCAATATGCAGGTTGTTGTTAAAGCTTCCAGTATTTATCAAAGATACCGAAGTTCCACCTTGTGGAGTGGATGATATGACAAAGCTCGCGTACCTGCATGAACCTGGGGTCCTAAATAATCTGAGATCAAGATATGAAATCAATGAAATTTATGTACGCATTTTGACCTGTAGACATTGCAGAACCATTTTCTTGACCTGTAGACATTGCAGAACCATTTTCTTGACCTGTAGAGAAGACATTTCAACATATGAAATAAATTTCTATTTTCCCACTTAGATTTGACTTTGTTCCATGTCAACAATTCATTTGGTGAAGTAAATTTTTTATCGGTCTTGAACTGTAACCCGAAATACCCGTCCGTATTAACCCAAACCCGTCTAAACCGGACCCGTCTAAACCGAATCTTAGTTTGGGCGGAAATGGGTCTATAAGGACTACCCGCGGTTTAGGCTGGGTTGCTGTTTTGGGCCCGAACCCGCCCAGCCCGGCCCGTTGTCCAGCCCTAGATATGACAGTCTAAAAAACACAGATCTTAACCGAGCTTGAATCCACCGATGGTCAAACTGCGTAAATGCAAGGAATTATTTATTGCAGAGAGCCGGATCCGGTTTATTGACTTCAATTTCATAAGTCTTCAAGTAAACTCGTTTCCTTTCCTTTGCAGGACCTACTCACTAAACATGGAAATGTGGTCGCCAAAATTTTGACGGCTCACTATGATGAGGTTTGCGTCCTTGGCATACTTATCTTATTTGAACATATCAAGCAGCACAAAATTCTGCTTGAGAAACAACTATGCTCGTGCTTTTCTAATAGGACTTATTGTTCCCAGTTCTTTGATCAATACGAAAACCTCTTGAAGTCCCCAAATTACATCACACCGAGGCAGTCTATCAAGGTCAGTTCTGTTCTGCCAACAATTTTAAAATGTTCATGCTTTCTGATCATTATCTTTGATTTTAACAATTAAATTTATATGGATTTTAGCTTCTCTCGGATTTTCTTTTGGAATCGCCCAATCCTCAGATAATGAAGCGCTACAGCCTACATCTTAGAAGTTCGCTATTTGAAAGTCATGATGACATTGTTGACGGTATAACTCCTCTTAATCCTGCGTCATTGTGCGACATTCCTGTTTTTCCATGCGATTAATTAATATGCTTACATGGTTGAGCAAGATTCGCAAAAACATTCAGTTACCGGCTTTTCACATTTTCAAGGTGATTTTCCCGCTTCATGTTTTCAAGTAAATTGATCCACACGTGTACATTTGGATCTTTGTTTTAATTATTTTTGTTACATGTTTATCCAGATTTTTGTCGCTAATCCTAATAAGCCTCAAGATGTGAGAAATATTCTTGGGAAGAACCAGGAGAAGCTGCTAGGCTTGCTTCATAACCTATCGCGGGGAAAAGGTTATTCTGTTTTTAGTTGATTCAAAACATGTAGTTATGTAACCTATTTTTCTCGAGTTACTAATCTTAACTCTTTTTGGTTTTCAGGAGATGCACACCATCTTAATTAGAGGAGATGCACACCGCGTTATGAGAGGGTGTACCTGAGTTACTAATCTTAACTCTTTTTGGTTTTCAGGAAATGCACACCATCTCAATTACTTGTAATAATCAATAAATTTTTTACTATGATTGATTAAATTTGAAACTCATAAAATAGGAGAGACATCTACGAAATATTTGCTGAACCAGTCGATCCAAATGAGGTCAGTGGTCTTAATTACTCATAATATGTTACACATATTTTATGAAAATTTTCTTATAACTCACTTGTGGTAGATTTTTATGGAAAGGTTAAGGATTACTATTCAATCATCCAGGAACCTATGGATTTTGGCACAATGAGAGCTAAACTAATGTATAAGACTTTAGAACAATTTGAGGTTTACAACCTTGATTTTTCATGAATGATTGTCTCCTTTTTTAATATATTACTACTTTTAGTAGTAATCCTAACATGTGTATGCTTAAAGTGTTATTATGCTTTAATTTTTGTCATCTAATACTTGGTATTTGAACTATTATGCAGCATGATGTATTCTTGATATTCAACAATGCAATGAAATTTAATTCTTCTAATACCATATACAGGTATGACATGGAACGTTTGTGAACAACATGACACCAAATTTCATTATCAAATATTTTTTTTTTTATAAACTATTTATGTATGTATTATTTCAATTTGTAGGCTCGAGCTATAAGTGAGTTAGCTAATAAAGTTTTTGAGGTATTGAGAATCAATCCTAACAAGTTTCAAATAGACTTCTCGGAAGTGAGTCGAGTAAATGAAAGAGGTGTTAGGGATTCATCACACTTGAAATCCAACAAAACAACAGTTGGTGTGCCCTCGAATAATATGTCATCAAGCCGAAAAAGCGTCAAGATAGATTTTCACGACGCCTATAAACATAATCATGCTATAGATGTAGAAGTTGGTCCAGGTAAGAGGAAACATATTAATAAATTAAGACTGTTATATTGTGTTGAAATTAACTTTGAAATTTAATTTGGTTAACTTTGATGTGTGTTTGCATAGCTCCTAAGTTATTTTTCACTTTAGTTTGTCATATTTTACTTGAAAATTTTTTATGCTAAACAAGCCAATCTTGTACTTACTCTGACATTCTAAAGGTTTATATATGAAAACAATTGAAAAGCTTCTTATGTATAGTTTTCATCCTAAGCATAGTGAAACTCAATTACGAAGTTTGTTATTGCTAAAGAAAACAACCCTCATAATCTTGTACCTGAGTGAAAAGAAGAGGGGGGAAACAGAAACAATTCCACTTATAAAATTACCTGTTGAGTGGGCTAAGTGGGGTATGGGCGA